ATATGCACCACTCCTGCCTCCCGTCATCCATCATACCGAGACTCACCCGAATGTACATGTCCAGCATATTTTGCAAGGTATTGTTGGTCGGGTCGAAGCCCATGTCCCTCATGATCCCGTAGTACAACTTGCTCTCCGCCACCATGCCTTCCGCGCAAGTCGCCGACAGGAGATTGAAGAAAAACTGCGGGTTCGGCTTGTACCTCTGCTCGGGGCGGCAGCGTTCGCAAGCGGTTGTACGGGAGACAACGGAGTGGATGGGGGATGAACTGCCGGGTTAAAATCGAGCGTGAAGCACAGCAGTCAAGTCATGCGTCAACAAGGGGAGGAGCAGCAAAAAAAAATAGTAAGACTTCACTGCTTCCACTACATTTCGTCTTATCTGGCACTTATTTGTTCCGGGCCCTTTTGCTTACCTCTCCTCTCAGCTTAAGAATATATGCGAACATATGGCATAAGTACTGTGAAGCAGGAGGAACGGAAACCCATTGAAAACACATCAATATCCATACACGTATCACTGAGACAAAACACTAGATGACATCAAAGCTGAGTGTGAAGCAGAGCCAAGACGTCAGGCGAGGAGAACGGACAGGAACAGAGAGGAACAGAGAGGAGAGCAAAATCCAGCATAACATCAACAGGAGGGCGCGGGGGAAAAGGCGGAGGAGCAACAAGCGAGTATAGAAATATATGTACGAAGGAGTGGGAAGATCAAGGAAGACAGAGAATCAACAATTAAAGGCAAACGAACGCGCACAAAAACCAAGGCTTGTTCTTCTCGGTCCCAATCAACCACACCCTGGTTCATCTCTCTCTCTCTCTGTCCTCTCTCTGTCTCTCTCTCTGTCTCTCTCTCTCTGTCTCTCTCTCTGTCTCTCTCTCTGTCTCCCTCTCTCTCTCCCTCTCTCTCTCTGTCTCTCTGTCTCTCTGTCTCTCTGTCTCTGTCTCTGTCTCTGTCTCTGTCTCTGTCTCTGTGACTGTCCTTCTATCTCTAAAAGGCACACGCACACCATAACATGGGGTTTACAGTCCCGCAGTTCCAGCAAGCCCCGAAGACACGAGCCACGCCCCAGCACATCAATCAGCCCGTGCCTCACCTTCCCCGGCAAGCGATCAAGGCCCTCGATTAATGCCACCGCACGGGTCCCGAGCCTGGCCACGCTACACCCCTGCCAATCGAATCGAGGGTTTTTGGCGAGCGAAGCCACAAGCAAAACATGAGTAAGGTTGAGGACGCGGTGGACCCGGAGGGAAGGATGGGGGGAGGGACAGAAAGGAGAGAGGGGAGAGAGAGAGAGAGCGAGAGAGAGAGAGCGAGAGCGAGAGCGAGAGCGAGAGCGAGAGCGAGAGCGAGAGCGAGAGCGAGAGCGAGAGCGAGAGCGAGAGCGAGAGCGAGAGCGAGAGCGAGAGCGAGAGCGAGAGCGAGAGCGAGAGCGAGAGCGAGAGCGAGAGCGAGAGCGAGAGCGAGAGCGAGAGCGAGAGCGAGAGCGAGAGCGAGAGCGAGAGCGAGAGCGAGAGCGAGAGCGAGAGCGAGAGCGAGAGCGAGAGCGAGAGCGAGAGCGAGAGCGAGAGCGAGAGCGAGAGCGAGAGCGAGAGCGAGAGCGAGAGCGAGAGCGAGAGCGAGAGCGAGAGCGAGAGCGAGAGCGAGAGCGAGAGCNAACACAGGGACATCAAGCGAACAAGAGCGGCGGTTTCACGCAAACAAGCCGGGCTTGGCGACGCCAACACGTTGATGGAAGAGCGAAAAAGTATCACGATGTACCAGTATGTGGTTAACCATTCACGACACTTATAGATACAACCCGCTCTTGCCGCGATTTTGTACGAACAAGCGCGATATTCACCACGGGCTCATCCTAGCGTCTCAGGCAGCGTCTTTTGTCGCAGCTGTTGTCGCCGAAACACTGCCTTACTGCTCTCGAATTTTTGTACATCACCTTCATGTACAAGTTGTATATCGCTGGCCGTATGCCCTGTCCGCTCGCAACCAGGTGATCGAACACGCGCCCGCACCTGGCCACTACCCCCAGGTCCGTCTGTTCATATTCGGGAACGCCCCGACGAGTGGGGGGGCGGGAGAGAGGCAGAGAGAGAGACGCATGTGTTGACAAGGGAAGGGGATCAAGAAGAAGAAGGAGAAACTAGCCCCAGCAGCAATACATAGTGGCGAAAACGAAAGACACAGCAAGCAGTGTGCAGCACGACGGCAGGGTGAGGCAGCACGTCAAGAGCGCAGAACATATAGCGCGCCCGGCCTCGCCGGTAACAAACGCCAGCAAGACTCGAACGCTTTTTGCGTGTCGGGATAAGATCTAGCTCGTGGCAAAACGCCTACGGAGCCGTCGAGAACAGACGAAGCAAGTTTCGCGCGAAAAAGCGGAAGGATAGCGCTGATACTGTCGAGGACGGTACGGCCATGCGGTATCACCAACAACACAAAAAAAACAATAACAAAAACCGGGTCAACTCCGAGGGGGAGACTACTCGTTCCATGGGGGTGTTTCAGTGTTCCCCAAGTATTACAGTACTGTTGTACGATCACAACGTGCCACCAATGTCACCGATGGCGCACGTACAGATAGACCGTGTCGGAGATTTGCTCCCAACTGAGGACGTTATCATCTTCTTTCCGAGCTAATCCAGGGGCCCAACCACCTTCCCACCCACCCCAGGTTCGCATTGAGATATGGTCTAACATGGCCATCCCCTTCGATTCTCACGTTGTGATTGCAGCAACCATGCACAGGTGCCCCCGGAACGCCTTGCCAATCACGAGCACGCATACAAAACACACGTCTCCTCGATACGGGCGATCAAACTTCTGAACAACTTCAGGCACGCCGTAAAAACGCCTTTTAGACAGAACCCCAAGACGACTATTGTAATATTTAGGTTGTTTTGTTGTTGCTGGGAAGCCGCATGGGAGAGAGCCCCCCTGTCGCCCCCTCTCCGTCGCCCCTGTTTAGGAAATGTGTGCACAGCATTTCCACGAACAGCATGTTATATCTAGCTGAGCTCACGTGGGAAATGAAGGCGTCCATCAAGCACTCGTACGTGGCCCATCCAAGACCCACCGTCACCCCTCCCTTCTCCCTCTCCTCGATCTCCTGTGAGGGCACAAGAAAAAAACACCGCCAGAGCGAGAGGGCACGAACAACGGCAGACGAAAATGACACATGAGTTTCCGGGTGTGGGTCGCCTATGATGTTACCCTCTTGGCAAAAAGGAAAAATAAGCGCAACAAACAGCAAACAGCATCCAAGCAACGGGCTGTTGTACGAGCGTGCATTCGGCATCATCATCGAGTGCTCACGTTGAACGTGAACGAAGCGAGATAAGAACAAAACCATCGGAACAAGGGGGAGCAGCAAACTTGCTGGCGCCCAGGGGGGGGGGAGGACGGCACGCCCATAAACTCGTCATAGGGCCCACAACGTCCTCCGGACCTGCCGCAGCTTTCGAGCAAACGTCGCTCCCCTGACTCCTTACAACCCTCTCCGCGCAAGCAACTAGCTCGTAGATCCCTCAGCATTCTTGCGAATAGCGGCATGGCGGTGCACTCGGTCAGATCGTGATGGTGGTGGCCGGGAGGGCCGTGAAAGCGCGTTCGCGTGCGTGGACTCGACGTGCGCTTGTCCGCATAATGTGACGCCACGCTTGCGAGACGTTGCACGGTGCTTTTTCCAGAACATCTTGGCGGTCGGTTACTACGTTTTGGTACACCCGTGTTCTGTGGGTGTGTTGAAGTTGTGATTGTTCATGTATCCGCTCCTCAGACGCCGTTTTGGGTTGCCACACTTATCCTAGCATGCAAAACATTTGCTCGCTACATGGAATCGCGCGGGCGGGGGGCCGGGGTGTGCGATAACGTTTCCACGCGTGTTTGTCTTCGAAAATAGCCACCTCTACGCATTCTACTTGGTTGGTGCGTCTTTCCAAGGCCTGGGTCGCGCACATGTAACAACGGCGATGCGGTATTCCCCACAAAGGGGAAGCAAGCCCAACGCTGGTTCATCGCTCCCTTAGCTGCTGTTTCATCGCCCCAAAGCACAAGCCGCGCGCTAAACGTACTTTCGACCCGCATCCCTCTGCCGAAAGAGTTTCGAAAGCGCGTCGTGCGATTTCGTCCTCTCACCTCCCACACCCGCACAATCTGGTCCCATCTCCTGGCCTTGTGCAGGTTCCCAATCGTTCTGTCGTAGCTAGGCTCCCGCGCGCCCTGCTCGACGTCCGCGTACTTTATGATCTCGGGGGAAGAAGACAGGCCTGCTCCGTAGGCATGCTGCGCCCCCTGGCCTACACAGACGCCGGGCGCGGGCGGGTTGCGCCACCTCCTTGCGTAGCCGGCATTGACGGCATTGTTGTTGTTGTCTTCGTCGGCTTCCTGCTGCTGCGTCGGGTACCTCTTCTTCACCGCCCTGTTGAGCTCGATGCACTCGGCCGTCGTGAGGGGCACCTCCATCTGGATGGACTTTGACCGGGCGTTGGGCGTCACCACCATCATGCTCGGCAGCCGCCGCCGTTCGGCCGGCCTGCCTCTGCTGTGGGGGGCAGACGCCGAAGCCGCCGGCGCTTCACCTCCCGGTTGCTTCGACGATGCTCTGGCCGCTGTGGTGGCCGCGTGCCGGCGCGCCGCCGCCTCCTTCTTCGCCCTGGCGTTCTCCCTGATCGACAGGTTCATCGCCATCGCCTCGGCGGTCGTGCTTGGCACGTTGACCTTGAGGGAGGAGGAGGAGTCGGGCGTTCGCACCACGAAGGTACGCTGCGGCTTCGGTGGGGCGGGCTCCTCGGTAGTTGCAGTTGCGTCTGGGGCGTAGTCGCCGACGTTGGCTGCGGCATCGCCGGCGCCATCCTGCCGGCAGGCGGGAGGGGTCGTTCATGTTAGGGACGCTTTTCGTAGAGGTACTACGAGAGCGGCTTGTTTTTTGCCATCGGGAGGACTTGTTAGATAAAGCCTGCAGAAACTACGGAAGTGCCGCGAGAGGGGGACGGTCAGGTGGCCTCAGTGCATGTAGTGCATACATGAACAGCAGCAGGTTGGACCCGAAAAACGGAAGCAAAGATAATTGTGCATGCAACCTCTACTCGTGCAGGGAGCGCAAAGAGCACAATCTGCGATTTGTGCGCCAGCCAGACGCGGTTCGTTGAGTGCCCATCTGCCAGGTCACCGGAGGAGACAACAGATCAGGACGTACGAAGCACAGATCATCTTGTATCAACAATGGAAAATGTTCAAACTTTCGATCAAATATCAACACGACCTACTCACTTGGACAGTACGGCATCTTTGCTCTCTCCTGCTTGCTATTGAAACAAGACAAAAAACTGAAAACTCGTAAACAATCACCATACGGAGAGGTGTCCGCTAAGGCGCTCTCGTACTTGCGCAGACGAGGACCGGGCCCATAAACCTGGCCACTGAGAGCACCACAACCAACAAATATGACAGCAGCTTCGAGTGACACAATCTCCTTGTTGACAATAAAAAATTGCCTTAGAGGAAGGCCATCTCGGTCCCCCAAACAATTTTCTTTCGGCCTTGCAAGAGCGCAGTGCAGCACGAAGACACACCTTTTCCTCTGCCTCCTGACTAGACCAAAGTCTCCTTGTTGGACAACCTCGCCAGCAAACCGCTACTGCTGCTGAGGCATGTTGTTGACGATCCCCGAGACCTCTCGACGATGCGCCCTGTCGAGCCGCACTGGTGGCAGCGGCAGCACTACGGTGTAGCAGAGAATCTACCCCCGCAATAGTGTTTCTAATCATGGCAGCGGCGTGTGCGCGCGCGTGCTGCGTTTCAACGTGTCGTGCACTGCTGTGCTTGCAGTCCTGCGCGTAGCGAAAATAAAAATAATATATAGGCAAAACGAGGCCTCCAACGGAAACGTGTCCCCTCCCTGGAAACCCTGCAAAGCAAGCGGCGAGCGGCGAGATGCGAGATCCGCGCAGTGCTCACCGTACATCAACGTCGACAGAGACCGAAGCAGGAGCGTAGGCGTCCAATCTCCGACAAAGGTACGCTGGATTACTCATACGCTAGGGGTCGGCAAGGCTCTTTGTACCGATTGTGCAGCACAGCAGTGTATATCCGGAATAGACTCACAGCGCACCTCCAGACGACAGCCACCGACATCACGTGCCCAACAGCAGTAGCACCTCAGTCTCTTCATAACTCTGGAATGATGCAGCCAAATTAGGGTTGTTCTACGTAATCAGCTTACATACCCACCTATTGCAAAAAGATTGGCTTCATTTGGTCCAGAGACACCTAAGCATGACGAGATCAAAATTAATATTTGTTGGTGTGGTGGCAGCATCCGTAGTCACGCGTGTGTTACGGTGGTGGGTGCACTTACATGAGGTTGGCATGATGCAGCCAAACCTTGGTTGTTTTTTCCATGAAGTTCACATATCCACCTATTCGAGAGGAATTACTCCATTTGGTACAGAGTCACATCAGAATGACGATGCCAAAACTCAAGCTTGTTGTTGGATCCCACGGGTGGTGGCCAGCACCCACGAGCGCGCGTCTGCGCGGCCGCGGGTGCATGAACACAAGGCTTGCACGCCACAACTATACATTGATAGACAGACCCACCAATTGCAAAAGGAATTACTTCGTTTGGGTAAGAGACCCCCAACCATGTTGAGGTCAAACCTCAAAATGCCACCTGTGGATCCTAACAATGTGTTGGTATCCAGACTAATCATCCGCAGGCACGTGCGCGGCCGGGTGTAATGCACATCGAAAGCAAGCCCCAACAACGCAATACACAATATCAGTGCGTGTTGCATGTGCCGCTATGAAGTCGACGTCCAACCTTCCAGGTCAGCATTTGATCCCTTCTGAATTGCTACTGCCACGTTTCTTGACGTGTGTGATTCGGCATACCCGTTCGTGCTGGCCACATGTCGAAGGAAAAACTACAGGTTTGGACGCGTTGATCTGGAAACTACCACCGACAGTTCGAGGTGGTACCGCGAAGAAGAGCACCTCTGCGTTGCAAACTTGAAGACTGACCACTAACTAAATGTCGTTTCTTTTGTGTGACGATACCCTACCTCGATTTCAGGGTGGTTTCATGATCGTGTGCAATCACGCAGCTCCATGGCTAACCGGCACAGAAGACGTGGTTTGCTGCACCCCCCTGTGCTGTTCCCCCCGGCAGTGGGGGGTTATACACCGCCCGTGTCACCGCGGCATCCGGCCGCTGGCCAGCAGACGGAGAACCCATCCTCTCCAGCTGCTGCGAGAGGCTACGAAGAGGGAACACAACGTCGCGAGAACGTTGGGGGGGCTGTACAGACACCTCGGGCAAGTAGAGCGAAGCGGCGGGCGCAAGATTCTGGCTCGCGGTTGAAAGGTTCGGAGCGAAGATAAGGGAAGAAGCGCCCGGCGAGAGTTAAGGCCAGACGTTCTTTGACTCTACTACAACCGCAGTTGGAGCAAAAGATTGCAGAGTTGGACTACGAGGAGCAGCAGTCGGTGGCGAAGGCGGAAGCAAAGGCAAGGAAGGAACGTGAGATCACCGAGGCTGACCGTCAAAAAAACGCGAGAGGCGAGTTCAAGATGGGAAGGGACCACGAGCAGTTGCCGATAGTGACGGAAACCAGAGAAAGAGGAAGCCGCGCGCAAAGGCATGCGGGCACCAGGAATGCGGTTGGGTCACCGTTGCATGAAGCTGTCTTTGCTCGTGGTGGCCAGGAGCCCGGCTGGATTCTCCGCATGGTCAGCGGGGATGTTGCACATTGCGTCGAAGTCATCCGGATGCTTGCTCTCAGGCACAGTTCAAAGAGGGCTGCATCAGTGTGCCCTACGTTCGAGTCCATGCGCCAGCAGGGCGAGCGAGGCCATCAGGTGCTTGGGTACTGGCAAGATGACTGTTTAGAGGTGGTACCAGTACGAGACTTCAACGGCAAGGGATGGGGGATCGCTCGAAAGGGGGGGGGACCAGCCCGGGGCACATGATAGCGGAAAATTGCGTGCTATGACTGTCTGAGTATTCTTTCGTTGGCACCGACAACAAGACACAAACGGAGAAATGTGGTTGTAAACCGGCCCCGGGTAAGAAGAGTTTCTGCGTGAGGTGCGCCTGTCGAAAAGCAGGAAGGAAATGCTCGCTGGCATGCGTGTGNCCGCATGGTCAGCGGGGATGTTGCACATTGCGTCGAAGTCATCCGGATGCTTGCTCTCAGGCACAGTTCAAAGAGGGCTGCATCAGTGTGCCCTACGTTCGAGTCCATGCGCCAGCAGGGCGAGCGAGGCCATCAGGTGCTTGGGTACTGGCAAGATGACTGTTTAGAGGTGGTACCAGTACGAGACTTCAACGGCAAGGGATGGGGGATCGCTCGAAAGGGGGGGGGACCAGCCCGGGGCACATGATAGCGGAAAATTGCGTGCTATGACTGTCTGAGTATTCTTTCGTTGGCACCGACAACAAGACACAAACGGAGAAATGTGGTTGTAAACCGGCCCCGGGTAAGAAGAGTTTCTGCGTGAGGTGCGCCTGTCGAAAAGCAGGAAGGAAATGCTCGCTGGCATGCGTGTGCAGGGCTACCTGTGAAGTAATTCGAGCGTCGGAACCTGAGGCTCGGATCGCTCCTGCTACCTCCAGCGTTCCTGCTGCGTCCACTGTTGCTGCTACACCTTCCGTTAATGCTACACCATCCGTTCCTGCAACATCTGCCATCGTAGCCGGAGCCCTTCGCTATATTTTAGCTTATATGGCCGCTACGCAGCAGGCAGCCGCTAGTCAGCAGGCAGCCGCTAGTCAGCAGGCAGTCGCTATTCAGTAGCCAGCAGCTAGTGAGCAGCCAGTCGCTAGTGAGCAGCCAGTCGCTAGTCAACAACTAGCCGCTGGTCAGCAGGCCGCCGCGCCGGATGATACGACAGGGACCAAAGCGAAGGACGAGGGGGGGCAGGAGGAGAAGGAAAACGAGGCGCGGGATGAAATCCCAGAGTGGTAGTCCGATACGTCCGACTACAGCGATGCCTTGGGCGACTGGGGATCAGACACGTCGGAGGGCGGGCCGGATGTAGGGTGGGGAGATGCGGGGGGAGTCGAAGGTCCATGGGGAGCGACGGGAGCTGACTGGTTCTGAGGTGTGAAGAGCCGTATTGAGGTGTGTAGCTGATTCCGTTTGTATATTTACCAACTTCTCGACCACAAATTGGGGGGGAGGCACGGAATTGCGTGTTTGTGGTCCGATTTCATGGTATGAGCACGTACTACGGCGCGCACGCCGACCTTAATCCCACCCAGGTGACCCACCCAGGTGACCTTACTCCACCTTATCCAACCCCCATGCTTACCGCGTGCGCTTTCCGCTGTTTGCCTTTGCTGCCCTCGCTTGTGTGCGACAAAATGGTGGCAATGACAACGACAGGTTCCTCCGTTCGAAATACCTTATGGTGGAGAAGGAGAAGACCTTGGAGAATAGGGTGTGGGGAGGGTGTGCTTGTGTGGGGGTGGGTGGGAAACGCACGAGCTGGATAGATAGGTTGCACCACCACTACTGTTGGCCCTCTTTGCTGTGATCCTTGCCTTTATTTTATTCGTGATAGTTCGGCTCTGGGCTCCTGTCGTGTACAAACCTGTGTGTGTTTATTAACAGCATCGACCGCGCCAACCGGCTGACCAATGAAAAGACGTCAGTCTCAGTNTGCACCACCACTACTGTTGGCCCTCTTTGCTGTGATCCTTGCCTTTATTTTATTCGTGATAGTTCGGCTCTGGGCTCCTGTCGTGTACAAACCTGTGTGTGTTTATTAACAGCATCGACCGCGCCAACCGGCTGACCAATGAAAAGACGTCAGTCTCAGTGCGGTGTGTGTGTGTGCAGCTTTTCCTCTCCCTGTGCTCAAGATCCTGCCGCACGTTTTTTGGCAAGGACTGCTGTCTGCCTCGACCATATTTTCCAGCGTGCGTGACGTTCCGGAGTCAGTTAAGCATGTTTATCTTTTTTTTTGGTCAGTTTAGGCGCCGCTGACTGTTTGTTTGGCTGTATTTACCATTTGGCCGACGTGAGAAGCAGTCTTAATTTGTACATGATGTGAAATACTGCTCGACCCAATTAAAAAGAAAGCGTTGGACAAAATGTGGCCTTTCTGCTACGGTAACGTCGTACGTGTACTCAATTGGCGGTGAAAGTCTCGTTCCACCCCCTCTCCTGTTGATACGTACGTTATGCTGTCCGTGGACAGACCGGGACCTCGCCCTACCACACTTTCATGCAAAAAATTGCGTGCGCCCTACGGGCGATTTGCCGACAAACAAACTTGGATTTACTTCGTTCTTTTCAACGTAGAAGTGTAGCGCACGGGTTTATTTCCCCCCCGGGATCAGAAATGACTATCGAGCGCGATTTTTTGTCGCTTACTCACACCAGAACGGGGTCGAAAAAAATGATGATCGCGAAAGAGAGATAAGAGGGGAACGGGCTCTTCTTATTGGTTGTCCCGCAGTGCGCGGTGCAACAACATTGTACAGACAGGTGGATTCCAGTTCAACATATGGTGCGCGCCGATCACGCGCACTTGGCCTATACAGCATGATGCAACCTAATTCAAAGTGCTGTGCATCCACGAGAGAGGCAGCTACAAGATGCGAAGCATCCTGTTGCGAACAGACTTGAGACACCTAAGCATGACGCCTGCGCGTGGATGCCATTTTTCAACTTAACCCGCCTCCTCCGCCGGCTACGTGGAACATGTCAGTGCAAGGTTTCCCATCTTGCTCTCCATCCAATAGTAGGCATTCCTGCCAAGTTTCGTGCGAATTGGCAACGTGTACAGCGCTTTCTCGAGTGCGACAGGAAGGTGCCGTCGGCTCGGTTGAGGTTCCGCCGCGTTTTGCCGGGCTTCCCGCTTTTGCCTTTTGTATTTGGGCCGAATTGAGGTCTTTCATCTTTCACTGCTGAGTTCTAGGGCTGTGGTGTATGGAATTTCATCGCGCTTGGGACCATCGATAGCTATTAGAGACATCTACAGCCGTAGAGCTCCATCTGGGAGGGGTGGCTCTGCTGGGGGCTTGTACAGCACGGTAGAGGGCGAATTGGCACTTACGTGCGTCTAACTTTTTTTTGCTACAACGCGCGAAAGGCCTTTTACGGCAGCGCTACTACTACTACTGCTGTGTGTCACTTCTCGTTTGAGTCCCAGGGGGCCTGCGATTAGGATGTACCCCCCCCGGGGGTATCCAATCTCTCAGGCCGCTCACCCCTCTCTCCCCTCTCTCCAACTAGCCACAGCGCAGCGCTCACCACTGACCACTCGACTGCTTGTGCTCTACCCAAGAGCGAGAAGAGAAAGAAAACCATGAAGCCTCCAGCAAAGCCGAAGGTCGGGAGCTTCCAGGCTATGGGGCTCGGCCAGGACCTCTTTCGTGGGGTAAGTGCGGCGTGATAACAGACGATTGGCAGCCGCACACACACCCGACAGTCCGCCACTGCTGTTACTTGTAGAGCTAGACAGCTTGCACGGCTTAGGCCTTAGAGTGCATAACGGTAGTACATGCTGATGTAGGATGGTTCTTATTCCACTGCAGCTGGGCTATGGGACCGTCAAGAGTCTTGCTGCCTTTCGCACAAGCGGTGGGGGGCCAGTGAGTCACATGTTGCGGATTGCACGATCCAAGGGGTCAACAAAGCACGGGGAAAGTAGGACTGGCGCTGCAACTTGATGTGCACAATGCCTCAAGTACTGCGTTGATGGTGAGGAAACAACTACAAGGAAATGCTTGGGTGCCATTGCACGTTTCACCCTAGCCATCCGGCAGGACTTGTGGTGAGGTGCTGCCTCGCCCAGCCAGCCTAACGGGATGTCCCCTGAAAGTAGCAGTAGTAGTACGCCGCTGTCGCCGTTTGATAGTAGGACCAGCACAGCAGTGGCGCGCGGGGTGGGGAGGGGGGGGAGTTTCAGGACCGCCTACGAATGCGTGTATCATAGGAGCTTGTGAACACCATTCCCATAAGCCCATCATCTGTTGTTTACGTGAACACCCCCGACGGCGCACCCCCCCTCCCCCCTTGGCATCACCTCCTATTCTCTCAGATCATGGCCATGGGCTACAAGGTTCCTACTCCGGTGCAGCGGAAATCTCTCCCCGTCACCCTCGCCGGCGCCGACGTGGTGGTCATGGCAAGGACCGGCTCGGGGAAGACGGCGGCATTCCTCATCCCGGTGCTGGAGAAGCTCGGCAGCCACAGCCACAAGATGGGAGCTCGCTCCATCATTCTGTCGCCAACGCGAGAGCTCGCCGTCCAGGTGCGTAGTGTAGATGCCTTCTTGATGCGGTTGTGGGAAAACGCAACGGAGTGCTGCTGCTGCTCTCCTACCGGACGGCCTGTGTTTGTTCAAGAACGTTCGGCACCTGGTGCTGCTATAATTTAGTAGGTTTAGGTAAAGTTTAAGGGGGTGGGGGCGAGAGGGTGAGGAAGCGGCGTGTATGCTATCCTGTTCGTAGCAGTGGCTGAGCCAATGCATGCCCTTCGCTGAGAAGACACGGGTGGCCCCCGCTTGGTTTCCTTCTTTCCGTGCTTTTCGCGTTAAGTTTCGCATCCAGGGTGCATAATCAAGTGCTTATTTTTTGTTCCTGTACGGTACAGCGGACC